TGTTGGCCTACTCCACTGAAACGTATTACAGAGGAACTTAACAGCCGTGAGTAAAAGTCCAAACTGGAAGGAAAGGTACACAATCACATTGGAAAATAGGGTCAACTTCAAGTTTTAAAAAAAATTGGATACTAGTCAATCTTAAATTACCGCTGACATTCATTAATGCACTTCCAAATGAAGGTCATTGTGTATGATAATCACGCACACAAATAAATTATCCTTCAATTCTGCAAGAACAGGCAACTTTGAGATTCCATATTATATACACTGAACAAAAATATAAAACGCAATATATAAAGTGGTGTTCCCATGTTTCATGAGCTGAAATAAGAGATCACAGAAATGTTCCATATGCAAAAAGCTTATTTCTCGCAAATGTTGTGCACATATTTATATGTGCACAATGGGGTGCCCAAATATAATGTTGTGCACAAATATATATTTTCTGTTGTATTTTTTTGACTTTTTTTTTTTACCCCATATGTAACTCTGTGTTGTTGTTTTTATCGCACTGCTTTGCTTTATCTTGGCCAGGTCGCAGTTGTAAATGAGAACTTGTTCTCAACTGGCTTACCTGGTTAAATAAAGGTGAAATAAAAAAATGTATTTGTTTACATACCTGTTAGTGAGAATTTCTCCTTTGCCATCCACCTGACAGGTGTGGCATATCAAGAAGCTGATTAAACAGCATGATCATTACACAGGTGCACCTTGTGCTGGGAACAATAAAAAGCCACTAAAATGTGCAGTTTTGCCACACAACACAATGCCACAGATGTCTCAAGTTAAGGGAGCGTTCAATTGGCATATTGACTGCAGAAATGTCCACCAGAGCAGTTGACAGAGAATGGTATGTTCATTTCTCTACCGTAAGCCGCCGCCAATGTCATTTTAGAGAATTTGGCAATAAGTCCATCCGGCCTCACAACTGCATACCACGTGTAACAACGCCAGCCCAGGACCTCCACACCCGGCTTCTTCACCTGCGGGATCGTCTGAGACCAGCCACTCTGACAGCTGATGAAACTGTGGGTTTGCACAACCGAAGAATTTCTGCATAAACTGTCAGAAACCGTCATCTCAGGGAAGCTCATCTGTGTGCAGGTCGTCCTCACCAGGGTTTTGACCTGACAGCAGTTTGGCGTCGTAACCGACTTGAGCGGGCAAATGCTCACCTTCGATGGCCACTGGCACGCTGGCGAAGTGTGCTCTTCATGGATTAATCTCGGTTTCAACTGTACCGGGCAGATGGCACACAGTGTATGGCGTCGTGTGGGCAATCGGTTTGCTGATGTCAACATTGTGAACAGAGTGTCCCATGGAGGCGGAGGGGTCATGGTATGGGCAGGCATAAGCTACGGACAACGAACACAATTGCATTTTATCGATGGCAATTTGAAAGCTCAGAGATACCGTGATGAGATCCTGAGGCCCATTGCCATGCCATTCATCTGAAAATGTCCCAATTCTTCAATGGCCTGCATACTCACCAGACATGGCACCCACTGAGCATGTTTGGGATGCTCTGGTTTGAAAGCGCATTCCAGTTCCTGCCCATATCAAGCAACTTTGCACAGCCATTGAAGAGGAGTGGGGCAACATTCCACAGGCCACAATCAACAGCCTGATCAACTCTATGCAAAGGAAGTGTTGCGCTGCATGAGGGAAATGGTGGTTACACCAGATACTGACTGGTTTTCTGATCCACAACCCTACATTTTTCTAAAGGTATCTGTGACCAGTCATGTGAAATCCATAGATTAGGGCCTAATTTATTTATTTCTACTGACTGATTTCCTTATATGAACTGTAACTCAGTAAAATCTTTTAAATTGTTGCGTTTATATTTTTGTTCAGTGAATTGTATCAAACTAATAGACTATGTAGTTAGGCTGCTTTTAAGTAATTTATCTTTAATTGATGTACAAAAAAATATGCAGGAGGGCAAATTACATATCAGGATATTATTTGAGGAGTGCTAAAATAATAATGCGATATTGTCAAAACTATACAATATGTATAGTTTTGACATTATCGCATTATTATTTTAGCACTTGTTTGCTGTCCCTGCACCAAAACTAGTTCTCACGCATCTCATCACTATGCAGCAGACATATGGTGAGAAATATTTTGGAACATCAAATCACAATAAAATCTCTATCGAATCACAATACATATCCTATCAGCACCTAAGTATCTTCATAATATCGTATCGTGAGGTCTGTGGCAATTCCCAGCCCTAGAGTCAACACAGTAAGATGGTAGGTAGACAAACAAGCTGATTTGCAATGAACAACATTTCTGCTGCCATTAATTAGCTATGCATTTCTTTAAGCAAAATATCACTATCAATGAATCACTAAAGTTCCTGAGCAATATACAGTGAAATATGGCACAACGACAAATGAATATCTCAGGCCTAGCATTCTAAGTAAAGAAATCACAGCAAGGGGCCTTCACCATGAAACGTTACAGTAGCTCACCTATAATAAACACACGAGTTTAAGTTAATATTAGACCGATATGTATGATCAGATATGCATGTTCAAGAGGTATGATCTTTAATTTCACATTCAAAAACGCTCATGTTAAGAGTCGAGGGGACTCAAAGGTGTTATTTGAACATATTTATTTCGGGAGTTCATTATGATGCATAAACTAGCTACATATTCTAAACGCCCGATGCATGCCATCACTCATGTTAAGACCCAATGAACTGTGATATTGATCACAAAATAAGAAAACAATTGGCAAGCTCGTAAAGCCATCTTTGCCAGGCCTTTTCTGACTGTACATCCTAGTCTTTGTTTATGTATTCATTCGTCCCAACTCTTGACAATTGGTGTTTTACCATGTTCCACTGTAGTCCTGTACAATCGACAGTTCACTACTTCAGTTAATATAATAGCTTTCATTATAACCAGCTTTTATTAGCCTACACTAATTAATTTCAAGCTCGTTTTACAGAGGCCTTCATTCTGACGTAGATAGCACCAGCTAGGTGGTTAGCGAACCTGGTCCCGTAATTTCAATTTGACAGTAAAGTCAGCTAGCTAGCTACCAATAGACAAAGACCCTAGTACGGTGGCCTTTCAGATTGTAAAGCGATATTAGCTAAGATGTCTGGTTATTAATGTAAAAATACAGACTAGTCCGCAAATAACATGTTAGCTAGCTATGTGACATGAAAATGCGCAGTTGGTGGACTGTTGTCCTAAAAACGTTCAGCTAACGTTATAAAGGCAACCTTCGCATGGAAACCACCTCAAAGGGAATGGCTGGCAAATGTCATTTAAATAAAATGCTGATCTTTCCATCGAAAATGGCAGCATCGGTCGGACTAATATTAACTTCGCACCAGAGGATTCAGCTGTACTAGCGAGCAAGCTTGCTAACGTTAACTAGCTAGCTTTCTTGTTAGGACAGGCTAGCTACATTAATTTAATTGAGTAGTTCAAAGGGAATGTCAGACAAACTCCATCCAACGACATTCACACGGCATCAACTAATCTGGTAGCTAGCTAGCTAAATACAAAGCCATATAGCTAGATTCGGTTAGTTAACGGTAGTTCGCTGCCTAGTTTTGAGAATTATTGGATCGCCTCAGTAATTTACCAGCTGTCGACGTGTAAGAAACTCAAGATTTAACAAAGTAACCTTAGCTATGTAGCTAGCTAAACAAACGTTTAATTGATTAGCTATGGCTAGCCAAATGGGAAGCTAATGTTTTTCTTGCTACTAGTTAGCATTGTTTAATTAGTTAGCTGATTACTCTCTAGCCTGACGTGATGAATTACCTACTGTAGCTAACTAACGTTAGCTGGCTAACATTGTTGGCAAACAAACATAGCTAGCTAACGTTAGCTCTATTAGGGGAATGGCATATTAAATTACACGATAGCTTAACTTTTACACTCAAGTTGCAAGAGGTGGTAGCCAGCTAACGTTAGCTAGCCGCTTTTTAATATTGTCATATTAGCTAACTAGCAAACTAGCTAGTTAGCTAACGTTACATGTTGACCTTAACCATTTCGGGTTAGGTAGCTAAAGTTAGTGTTGACTGGCTAACAAATGTCGCTAACTGAAAGCATTATGCTAACTACGATAATTGCTAACGTTAGCTAGCGAGCTAAGCTAGCTGGTAGCCAACTAACTAGATAAAATGCTTGTTTCGCCGACTGGCTAACCATATGCTATTTCCAATTCAAGAGTTATTGTTTGGTTAGCGAGCTAATTTTGTTGCGCTAGCTACCTATGTTTATGGCTAAGCAATCGCAAAACGAAATGGCCTCTGAACCTTCTTTGCTGCTTGCATCACACAGACACAAAAAAACAGGAAAGCAGGAACAGGATTCGAGAGATGACAATTGGAAACCATATTTTTTCGCGAGACGGATTCTCCATTCCTCACAAGTATTTCAGTCTTAAACTCTCAATGAGCCCCCCACAAACTATTGAATAAGATGCCACTGAACGTTAAATATATCATGTTATTACCTATTTGTTCCAGTGTTGTAGTTGTAACAGACAGCGCACCAGGTCCACTCTCTCAGCCTTCACATCAGCTGAGGGAACTGCAATATACCTCCGCTCTAAAGTGCCCCATTCTTCCGCTAGGAACTACTTTCGATTTAGATGATAATGTCGACAATGAAACGAACCTGAGCCAAATAAATACATGTATTCAATAACAATTTACGGAATGTATTTACAATTGTCTACAGTTGTGTTCAGTAAATTTTAATTTATATATCTCAGAACCCACAGTAGGATAGCTGCGAAATATTAATCCGCTGGGTCGTGACCCCCTAATCCAACAACTGTTTTCTAGAAAATATTCATTACATTTTGGGTTGATAATTATTTTATTTATATTCTTAAATTATTATCAATCACTCAATGTATACAGTTGCGAACAGAATTCGCTTTCATTATCACACAAAATATTTCGCTGTTGTTTTCTCTCCGTTGTCATGGAAATTCTTTAGCGTCTAAAAATGGCGTCTTTACTTGGCAAGAAAGTGTTAGAAATACATGGCCAGGGTCCCCCTCCTACAAAATATTTTTTTCAGCTTACTGTCACTAAAACTGAGGTATATTCTTATATTTGATCATCCATCTGATATATATCTTGGAATTGCAGAGAGTTAAAAACAAATAAAGTAAACTTTATCTGCACAATGCTGGACTGTGGCTGTGGAGAAAGGCTACACATCAGGACAGCAGGCATGGTATACAGCACTGTATTTGGTAGTGTTGCTCTCCGTTGACATGATTGTACTTTTAAGTGCTACATATCAACCTCATGTATCTGACATTTGTTTCTGCAAGTAAATTGTCTGTTTCAACATGCTTTGAACATAGATTAATTACATGGCTCTGATGATTGGAGAGAACTGAGTTGTATAACATTTTACATTTTAGTCATTTAGCAGACGCTCTTATCCAGAGCGACTTACAGTTAGTATAACAGCCCTGGCTATGTATTTTTGAATTTTTCTTCAGGTGATATGGAGATCGTGGAAGATTTCTTTGAGGATTGAATTCAAGGGTGCTGCACCTGGAGAAAATAAGATGACCCACGATGACTATTTGCCTGATGCCCGCCTGCAGCGTAAGGTTTCCATTACAAGTCTCTGCCATTAAATATTAAGCCTACATCACCTACTGTATTTGTTTTTGTGTTGATACACGTGGTTCTGTTGGTGTCTTGAAAAGTGCACTGCCCTGAGTAGGTATGTACTCTCTGTCTCTAGAACAGGTAGGTGTGGTGTTTGGCCATCAGATCCTACAGTACACCCAAGCACTGTGCCAAGGGAACTTTGACTACCTGGAGCGCCTGCCCAATGACCTACTGCTCCAAATCCTTCATGGAAATGAAGGACGTAGCACAGATGGCACAGACCACAAAGAGGTTCCACAAGGTGAGCCTGGGCTTTACAAACCCAAAGGACCAGTTTCCCAGATAAAAATTAAATCTACTGGACTAAAAAGCTTAATCTGAAGAGAATTTCCATTGACATGGCTTGCTTTTAAATCCAGGACTAGCCTTAATGTGTCCAGGAAACCAGTCCATAGTGTGTACCCAAATAATTTACAAAAGCACATTTTACTTTCATATACACATTATTTCATTAAGGGCCCTGAGTTTTTCCTGACCATGTGAACGGACAAGGAAAACCTCAGGGCCCTAGTTAGGCTATAACACGGTCTGGAAAACATAATCTGGGTTTAGTTAATGAGCTAGTGTGTGTGTCTGTGTGTGTGTGTGTGTGTGTGTGTGTGTGTGTGTCTGTGTCTCTGTCTGTCTGTGTCTCTGTCTGTCTGTGTCTCTGTCTGTCTGTGTCTCTGTCTGTCTGTCTGTCTGTGTGTCTGTGTGTGTGTGTGTGTGTGTGTATGTGTGTGTGCACTGCAACTCTCCAGAGTTCTGGGAACAGACTGTGAGGGGTCGCTGTGATGAACTCACACCTGACATGGAGGCCCTAGCCAACGCCATGGGCTTAAGGAAGATATTCTTTACCTTCTTCAACACCAAAGAGCACCAGCAGTATGTACATGGAGGTAGCTAGACACTTAAACAAGACAGTGTTACTCCTCTCATAATAAAGATTTGGAAATGTAACTTTCTCTGCCAGTAGCACAAGGAATTATTTATGTATTTGAATGGTGTGTTGTGTCTCTTTGTGTTTAAAATGCACTATTGATTGATCTATGTTATGTGAATGTGTCTTTCAGGGCTTTTTTATTCTCTCTGTACCTTCGAACAAATAACATTCAATTATTTAGTCTTGGTTTCTGTCATTGCATTTGATTTCTAATCCAGTATGTTGTATGCACTATTTACAAGTAAAGCCATACTATTATTGAATGCATGTTGCAAAGAAATTGTTGAGGTGTTTATTAAATGAGAGTTTTTTTGACCAACATACGTTGTATCAGTGTGCTACTCTGGGTGTGACTGTGGATGGTGTTCTTCAGTTGAAATGAGATACTTGGTCAAGTACAGTGGTGGAAAAAGTACCCAATTGTCTTACTTGATTAAAAGTAAAGATACCTTAATAGAAAATTACTCACGTAAAAGTGAGTCACCCAGTAAAATACAACTTTAGTAAAAGTCTAAAAGTATTTGGTTTTAAACATACTTAAGTATCAAAAGTAAATGGAATTGCTAAAATATACTTAAGTATCAAAAGTAAAAGTATAAATCATTTCACATTCCTTATATTAAGCAAACCAGACGGCACAATTTTCTTGTTTTTTAAATTTACGGATAGCCAGGGGCACAGGCCAACACTCAGACATAATTTACAAATGAAGCATTTGTGTTTAGTGAGTCTGCCAGATAAGAGGCAGTAGGGATGACCAGGGATGTTCTCTTGATGTGTGTGAATTGGACTATTTTCCTGTCCTGCTAAGCATTTTAAATGTAACGAGCACTTTTGGGTGTCAGGGAAAATGTATGGAGTAGAAAGGACATTACTTTCTTTAGGAATGTAGTGGATTAAAAGTAAAAGTTGTCAAACATATAAATAGTAAAGTAAAGTACAGATACCCCAAAAAACTACTTAAGTAGTACTTTCAATATTTTTACTTAAGTACTTTACACCACTGGTAAAGTGTCCAATCATGATCACACTCAATAACAGTAAGAACACATATTGGTATGGTGTTTTAAATTGTATTAAACATATTGTTACATGCATGCCTATTATAATAAAGAGTAGGCCTAAAACAGATTCAGCTGCTTATAATGAGATAATGGGTCAGATGTAATGCTGGAGATGTTTCCTGTTTGAGAGGACCGATTTAGCGTTCTTACGCCCTCTGCTGAAAACCAGCTGTACTGAAGGAACTGTGTGAGGAGGGGAGTCTGATAGAAACCCTGTAGCCAACAGAGGGAGCAAAGTGACAGAGAAATGCATATCCTTACAAGAGGAGGTGGATCAAATAAAACAAAGGTGATGTGTACAAAACAAGCGCTATCAGTCAGACAAACTTAATCGTATTGTTGAACTGTAACCACACTGGCATGAGTTTGAATGTCATCGAAGGTAGGCCTACTTAGCATATGTATCACAGAAAAAGGTGTGAACCCTCCAAGTGCAAGGGAAGGTTGTCTGGTCAAAGGGGATTTTTTTGAAGAGCAAACATTTTAGTAGAATAATCAGAAAGATAGGCCACATAACCCCACTTAATTTGTTTAAAGAAACTAACTCATACTCACCCTTTACATTTTAAAGGGGAGAGTAATGTAGTCGACTAGGTGAAAAATCTGTCGATGTGCCCTTGAGCAAGGCACTTAACCCTAATTGCTCCTGTAAGTCGCTCTGGATAAGAGCGTCTGCTAAATGACTAAAATGTTAAATGTTAATGTAAAACAGAACATGTTTCTTGATTAATAAATCTCTCTCGTTATATTGCAACATTACAAAGGACACGATGGAGATAGTTTTTAATGCATGTTTTGTTGTTTAAAAACTTGTCTTTAAGTTGTAAAAATCGACCAATCATTCAATCAATCAACTGTGTCAAAATACCTCGCCCCGGGGGGCGAAATGGATCAGTCTCCCGCACACACACGGCCCTGACTGGTACTGAGCTCCATTATTAGCCTGAGTCAGAGTCGCTAAACACCGCCTCCTCAGCTGGGTCTGGGAGGAAAAATATTCATTACGTAACTATAAAAGTTCGGTCTCTGGCTCCACTTCCTGAATACCACAGTGGCTAGGCCTGCGACAGCGGACCAGCCCGGAAGCCTCACTCTCTCTATTTGTGTGTTTGGGCAGAGCTCACTCTCTTTCGTTTATCCCTCGCAACACATTCCCACCACCCCTCCTCCTCCACATCTCCTCTTTGTGGGTCAGTGCAGCAGGAGTGACGCAGCAGTGTCAGCGCCTCATCGGCCTACAGACAGGCAGCGTCTCAGGAGTGGACTGGAGGGAGAATCTGTGTGCCCAGGCTGGGCCCTGACACACACACAGGCAGCCAGCCACCAGTAAACAGAGGAGGAGAAGGCGGAAGGTAAATTCTATGGCTAGGCCCAGAGAGAGCATGCCTGGAGCTGGCTAGCTACACCTCTCCCTCCTACACACACACACACTCTCTCTCCACAGAGGGATTGCTCACTTCCATAGCGACAGCGAAAGGGCCTGCAGAACCATCCGGGAGGAAAAATGTTGGTCGGCTACTGAGCATGTGTGAGTTGGATGTGCCAGCGCAACAGTAATGAGGATCAGCGTTTATGTACGCAGTGTGTGTTTTGAGAGAGAGAACAAGGCCTAGTCAGGCTTGTGCTATGGGCTCTGTTTCCCTGCCGATCAATGTTTCTCAAGTCTAGGCCCCAGCTGGGCTCTGCAATTGGCTACGGACAGACTGAGGCAGTAAAGGCATGTCTTCTTTTGTTGTGGTTTTGAAAATATCCCAGCTGTAATGCATTTAACGGATGGGTGTGCCAAACAAATAGAGGATGTCAGAAGAAAGGAAAATATCTACAAAAGTTTCTATTAAAACTAAATGAAATGTGAAAAGTAAATGGTAAAGTCACATCAAACATTGTTGATATGTGATCTCTGACAGGGAAGAATCTCCAAGTAATTATTCAAGAGTGAAAGAAGAATTCATCACAGAGAATGGCAACAATGAATCAGCAGGTTGGATCCTTTTTATTTCTCCAATATCCACAAAATAATCTGTGTTCATAGCAATATAATTTGTCCAAATGATCTGTTCAAATTTCAACTGCTCTTTATGTACTCTTTGTTTGCAAGACGTTTGAAGTACTAACAAATACTGTGGGAGAGGGTTTGTGGTGAGTGAGACAAACGGTAGGTACTGCAGGTACTTCATTTGCAGTTCTCAAAACTGTAAGGAACAAAAAGCATGGATGGTAAAGAAGGGCTCGGCTTATTTATTTGTTTTGGGATGTTGTGTTCCCCTGCAGTGCACCAGTGGAAATCGATTGTGCAGGCAAGACTACGAATACAGGAAAAGGAGGAGGAAGCAGGCAAGACCATTAACCATACATAGCAGGCATGTCTTAAAAACACTGAAGGAAGAGAATAGAAAGACACCAGAGGAAAAACTCAGATAAAGAGAAATTGCAATATGGAGGCATGATAGTGGCCACCCAAACATGTCAAATCATATTTCCTTTGGCTTTACGAGGCTCCCTCCCAGGCAGTGTAAGGTTCGCAACCTTTACTGTTCCATACAACCATGCTGGTAAGGTAGCACTGTTTTCTTCAAAGGTTGCCACAACAACAAGGTCATGCCAAAGTGCAGCGGCTTACGGAAGTGTGAGGCCTGGCGTGCTGCCAGGCTGGTGTACTGCTTACCCAGGCCAACGCAAGCAGACAGGGGCCTTGATTCCACTCAGGAACGACAAGTATCAAGACGGGTAGGCCTGCACCAGAAATAGCTGGCAGACGGCTGAGCTTGTGGTTAATTGTGTGCGTCTCAATCAAACACAAGGCCATGTGACCAGTGATGAGCAGAGAGAGAGAAAGCACAGAGAGCAGGAGGGGACAGAGGCATGGGGATTTTCATGATAAGGTGAACGAACACTGGTAGAAAGTGCATAGTGAATGACTCCCATGCATTTCATGAGGCCAATCTGTTCTGTGAGACCAAGTCAAATGTAAAATGTGCATGGTTTTCACATTCGGGTGCAGAAGCTGTATCCCTAAGCCCAGAAAGAAAGCTGAGACACGTATGCAAATTAGAAAAACACTTGTGATAAAACCCCTCCGCCTTCATACGTATAAAGCGACTGTCTGCATCTACAGCAGCTAGCGGGGCTAGCAGTGCCCTGCCTGCCTGGTTTAGCCCCTCCCCCCTGCACTCTGCAGTGTTGTGGCATCCCCCTGTGTTCCCATCCATCAGCAGCCTCTACAAAGATGACTGTTCTCCTCTCCTCCTGCTCTCTCCTCCGTCCTCTTTTTTCCCCACTTCATCTCTTACTTTGAAAGTGCACCAAAGCAGACGAGAGAAATAAACCATATATAGTCGCAGATATCTCATTGATCATGCTGCTATATGCAAACAAGAGCATAGTAGGCTTATCGTGTTCATGAGGCAATGCACTGCAATGTACACAGACGTGCTGACTGAAAGAGCGAGACAGAGGGTTGAGTGTACACAGCAGCACAGACAAAGAGAAAGCGCCTGTGTGCATAGGCATGAGACAGATGGAGAGCGTGATGTGACATGTTTGAAAGTGAGTTACAGATCCAGCTTCCTTTTTGGACTGTGAGATACAGTATGAATGGTGTAGAGGTCGAGCAGAAATGTGATTGTGGGTGCGCTTTGTGGTATGGTTGAAGTTGTATCACCGTAACCCTGTTAGCAGGCGTGCAGCCTAGGCGTTTTCTCTGTTATCTGTGCAGCACGGCGTAGTGGTGTGTGATGTAGCACTGAGCCGCTCTCTCTTACCGTCCTCAGCCATGCTTAATAAAGTTGCCGTTTCCTGCTTGGCGACTGCAGAGTAGATGCCGCTGGGCTCCAGTTGCCCGGGCAGCACAGAGGCAGCAGACAGACCCATAGTCCAGTCTAGCTATTTTTAAACTTGTGGGAATCCTGTGGTCAATGGTCTGAGAGCTGGGGCAAGCCAGGACAGGACTGGGCAGAAGAGGAGAGAGCGGAGTACTCTACCAGGACCTAGGGAGAGGCGAAGGACGTTGGAGCTGGAGTGAGCAGCGTAGAAAGAGAGAGGGAGGGAGTGAGAGAGAGTGGGAGAGGAGGAAAGAAAGACAACAGTGAAAGCTCTGCCTCTAACGGCACCACTGAGCAGCAACGAGTCTAGAAAAAAAAAGTGTCTACTTTTGCCTTCACGAAAGTTTTTTTTCTTCTGTACGGTAGAGAATATGAACTATAGTGGAGGGACACTGTGTAATGTTTTTGGCTGTTCGCCTTCTGTGTCAGCTGTTCGCCTTCTGTGTCATTTTCTCTGATTCACAAAGGTATGTTCTGCATGTTTCCACCCAATCTACAACCTATTTATAACGGAAATACACATATTGCATGGGGTGGCTTGAGTGGGTTCTGCTATGACATTTTCGCTCTGTTTGACTAGACAGCTTGTATTCGAGACAGTTTTTTTCTCGCCTTGTGGTTCACAGAAATTAGGGGATTTTAATTTGTAAGGTTTTGAAATGCATATCGCATGATATTCTAAGGCACAGTGAACTAGGGTGTGGCAAAGAGACATCCGTTGATGACAAATTCAAAATTTCCGCTCAATGTGTGAACAGACTAAACCATATCAAGATGAGAGAAAATTGGTCATATCAGCCCTTATTGAAAATAATCAACTGAAATCGCAGACGTGCAATTTCCAGATGAAAATGCATGGAAAGTGGCACAAACCAGAGGAAATCAGCATCAAGGTTGAAGCACATCGCCTGCCGTAAGCGGAAGAGAGAAAAAGTCCATCGGGCTGCTGCATTTCTGCTGCAGACTCTCACACACACCGACCGACACATATCCAGAGTGGAAACAAAGGGTGGCGAGCCTCCATTGCGGTGGCGTTGGAGCCTGGGACCTCTGCGGTGCTGTCGCTCTCAGACAGGAAGGGCTCGCTGTGAGGAAGGACCTAACCAAATCCCCGGACGGCTAATGCAGTCGCCCGCCTGCCCCGCCATCCGTCTGAATCTGAATCCCAATAAGTGCTGCGCCACAGCATGTTGCCGTGACAACGGAGGCCTGTCAGACGGGGAGGCAGGAGGCTGTGTTTCCCAGTGATACGCGAGGCTTCTCTTCTCTCGGTCTGCTGCCAGACATATTGTAATCGTGGCACCTAGAGAAAACATTATCAAAAATATGTATTTTATTATGATTATTTTTCTTCAAACAAGGGTGCTTGATCACTTTAATAATAAGTTAAGTAAATATGGGAAAAAAATAACTACACATTTTTATGTTTCAATACAGACATGTTAAGTCAAATTAGAGTGTTTATGGCCTGGGGCTGAATGTATGGTTTATTGCTGTGCAATTATGTAAATCTAACCTCTGTCATTAGGTTATTTGTTCTTCCCTGCCTTTTCTGAGTAATATGTAGAACGTGATGCTTAAGGCAGTCAGTTGAAACACAGAGACGTGAAAATGAGCACAGTTTCAATTATATTAAAACACCTAGGTGTAATGTAGGTGAACAAGCAATTGGGTGCAACGGGGATGCCTCTAGGGCAGTATTCAACTTAGGGTATATGGAAAGTGATCTTTTTGTTTACGAAGAGGGGGTCTCATCTCAACATCATGGTCTAATGGCAATCTGGAGCAGGGACAAACGGTACCCCATAAACGGGCAGCCATTTTAACCTACCCCAACAGCTCCCCTACAACAAGGCTAAAGAAGAATATAGAAAATGGCCGCCATGCCATGGAAAATTACAGTATCAGCATTTTGTAGTGCATATGTATAACCTGCCCTACTATATGCATAACAACAATGCCACAATTGCAGAGCCGACCTATACCTTGTTCTCTCTGTAAGCAAAGCTGTGGTGCTCGCCAAAGCACCTCTGCCAGACATCAGGGATTACATCTTTAATGTCTGACAGGGAAAGAAGACATTTTGCATTAGGAAGTATGTTATGACGCTGATCTTAAAATAAAGACGTTTCCAGAGAAGTCAGGGACCAAAATCACGGGATGCTCATAAAAATAGATATATGTAGCGTAGGCTTCAGCAGCATATAGGCATAATAATATCAATATTAGTCATGCAAACAGAAAGTAAAAAAGAAATGCTGATACCGGTAGGCTATATTTAGGCTAACTGCAGAAGCTACTTGCCTTTGCGGGTAACCTAAGCATCATCCTGTGTGAGAGTGTGACAGAGATGTTGCCTCAGACCAGTCCACACAGTGACATAGGCACACTCCCCTGGGAGGAACACGCAGGAAGTGCTGTGCTCTTTAATTGCCTCTTAGATTAGACAGAAAGATAAGAGACATTAAAATCCCACTGAA